TTATAGTTTGAAAAATACGGTAGTTTTTGAGACAGGTTTTGCCTACTCAGTACTTGTGCCTTTGGTTTTTCCTGCCCAGGTGTAAAATTTCCACATTAGATTTCATGTTGTTGGATAGGGCCCATTGTTGAAGTCTGTCAAGATCTTTTTGGATCCTGACCTTGTCATCTGGGGTGTTGGCTATTCCTGCCCTCTTAGTGTCATCTGTAAATTTGATGAGTTCCCCTTCAGTTCCCTCATCTAAGTAATTTATGAAGATATCGAAGAGTATTTGGTCTAGGGTGGTACTCCACTGCTTCCTTCCATGTAGATGTAGTACCATTAAGGACTACTTGTTGACTATGTCAGCCAGTAACAAATCCATCTGGTGGTGGTGCTGTCTACATTTTTATAGTTTACCAAGAAGTAGGTTGTGGTCTGTTTTATCAAATGCCTTGCTGAAGTCTAAATATACTATGTCCACAGCATTTTGCTAGTTACTAATTTAGTCACATTGTCAAATAATGAAATAAGATTAGAAATAAGATCTGTTTTAACAAACCTGTGCTAGCTGCTAGTTATGACTTTGTTTCTGTATATTCACAGATCTGTTTTCTGATTATTTTTTCCAGTCTCTTCCTATGTATTGATGTTAGGCTGATTGGTCTGTAGTTTCCTGGGTATGGTTCCCTACACCACCATCCTTTTTGAAAGATGGTAACCATATCAGCTTTTTTTCCAATCCGCTGGTAGTTTCCCAGTGTTCCAGGATTTAAAAAAACATATGGTACAGTGGTTCTGAGATAACATCTGCCAGCTCCTTCAGAACCTTGGGATGTAATCAGCCTGGTTCCGGTGATTTATATTCATCAGGATCAGACAGGTGTTCTCTTACCATTTTCTTGCTTATTTTAATTTTTATTTCTAGTCTGCCTTTCACAGTTAGGTTTTTGGTAAATTGGATTATAGTTTCCTTTTGTGTGAAAACTGATTCAAAGAATGAGTTAAGCAGCTCTGCTTTCTTTCTACTTTCTACTTGCTTGCTATCTTCTCTCTTTAGTGGACAATTGTCACCTTGGCTTTTTTCTTGTTATTGTTATATATAAATGATGTGTAGTACACTTGTCTGACTAATATGTAAGTGTTAAAATGCTTAAGTTAATAAAAACAGAAGCATTTATGGGGGGTTGCCGGGCGGCTGCTCTCTTGTGAGCGGGCTCCCAAAGAGCCGGGCACAGCAGCCACCCGGCAAACTCCCTTTCCAGGCGGGCACAGCGTCATTCACTGTCCTAGGGGTATCGCCAAGCCGCGTGAGCACCTGTTTGCCGGCTTCCGTGGCTTGGCGCCTTCAAAATGCCAGAGAATGGCTCCCAACCTCACGAAGCCGGGCTCTTTGGGAGCCTGCTCGCAAGAGAGCAGCCGCCCGGCAACCCCAAAACAATAAACCCTCCCCTCATAATAAGGCCCAAGCCATATTTTGTGTGTAAAAAGAAAATAAGACCCTGTCTTATTTTCAGAAAAACATGGTAGTTTCAGTAGTTTCAACAGGATGATTAAGGGGAGAAGAAACAAAAGTGCTTGAATAGGTGAACAGAATCTTGAGTTACAGCTAGTGATAGTTTTCTCTGTCGTAGTTCTATTAAGTGAAAGCCATTATTTCTGCATTCCATACATATAAAATAACACTCAGGCTTTATGCATTTTTCAGGATAATGAATTTCCTTTCAATGCAGAGAATGCAACTTAGTTGCAATGCCACCTTTCTCTCTGTTCAAAATGCGTTTATTCTGCGAGCAAATCTTCCTCATTCCTTCATGGAAACTGTAGCCGCTGGTTTGAGTCAGGGCTTTCTGAACTACATTTCCCACTATCCCTCACTAAGAGCGCGAAAAGGGCAGCCTTTCAAGTTCCCCGTTGGTTTTTGTTTTCTACTGAATGGCCCCTAACTTGACGACAGGACAGAAAAGAGGGTTGCAGAGGAAATCCATAAAAATTCCAACTCTCTTCGGGGCGGTAAAGGTTCGCTCTTCACATTGTTTCTCGACAAAATAAGCAAGAAAAATAACTGTAATGTACCTTATTTTATTCCCCCGCCCTCACCCCTTCTGGCTCAAAATGGCGCCAGCAGCAGCCTGTACGACGTACAGATCTAGTCACGTGGTGATTTGCGAACCCTTCGCCTCCCCTCTTCTCCCCGGTTCAGCCGGTGGGCGCGCGAGAGGCAGCTGGCGGAGGCGAATTTTCTCAGCCTTTCCGAGGAAGTCGCGTGGGCGGGAGGGGGAACCGAAAGCGGCGGGACCGTCAAAGATTTATGCCGTCGAAAAGGTTTAGCTCTCGTCGGGAGGGAAAAAGGGGGGAACCGCAGCTGTTCACAAAGAAAGACTTCGGGCTCTCTGGCGTCCCTCTTCCACCCGTTTGTCTCTCCTTCTCTGAGCCGCGGCAGGAAACGGTCGCCGTCATGTACCTGCAGTCGTGGACCGCTCGGAATGGCGCCTCGCTTGGCGGCTCTTTGTGAACTGCTTTTTTCCTCCTAAAATGAGGCGATGCCTGCCTGCAGAGGGGACCCTCGTCGCTCGGACAAAGGCGAGTGGCCGAAAAAACGGGTGCAGCGCCGTGGGTCGCCTCGGGGACTTTTCCTCTCTGTGGCGCTGCGGGCAGCTGACTGTTATGCGGTCCGCGACGGTCACGGCTGGGGCCTGTAATGTGCCTAATGAACGAGACGTTCAGGTCAGGCGAGGAAAATGGCAACGCCGGTGGGGAGAGCAGCGATCGGGGCGGGGTTTTCGTAGCCAGGCGAGGCCGAGACACGGGCCGATGTCTGCGGCAGATAAAGGGCGAAAATCTTCCTTCGGCTTCCTGGAGATTTCTCTTCGTTTAAAGCTGAGCCTGCTTTCCCTCTCCATCTCCCTCCTCGCCCCCGCCTCCCCTTCCCCGTTCAAGATGGGTCGGGCGCACCATGACCCTGGCTGAGGTAGTAGTTTGTGCTGTTGGTCGGGTTGTGATACCGCCCGCTGTGGAGATAACTGCGCAAGCTACTGCCTTGCTAGTGCTGGTGATGATCAGCTGCAGATGAAGACAATAACAACAGGAATCTCCTTTGTTTTCCCAGGGATTAACTTGGCTTTCTTTTGACTACTTAATAATCCTATGAATATGTGGGTTTGCTGGAACTTTAATAAAAATACAAATATTTATGATTTTTTATCAGGGAATATTCCAGGAGAATCATGTTAACCTTTTAATGCAAAAATAAATAAGGGTCTGGTAGCACCTTTTCAGAGTGTTAAATATTATTAAAAAGCACAGGCATTCATAGTTACAAAGGCTTATAACCTTTTTATAAAATTTGTTAATCTGAATAGGCGCTTCTAGTCTCCTGACTTTTAGTTTTATTATCTTTGAGATACATGGAATATATATGACATGTTGAGAAATATTGCTATTAGTAGGCCTAAATTGAAAGTAGAAATTTAAAATAGCTAGTATATTTGTACTTTGGGAATACATACAAGATAGCCTCATAGTTTCTCACATCTTAAATGTGTTTAATCATATCATAAAGTAAATTAATGCAAATCATGTTGCAATTCTGACTTAAGATAGTTGAATGATAAAACCATCTGAAGTCTGCACATTGAAAGTAATTTAATAGAAAGACATTACATGATTCTGATGTTAATTATGTATCCTGTATAAATTATGTACTTTGCTTCTAATCTAGACAGATCTAGTTATTTTTTTGTTAATATATTTTAGTATCGAATGCCTTCCTAATAAGAGATATTATAAACTGGTGTTCTGGTTTTGTTTTATATTGCAATTTTTTCAAGTATACAGGCATCAAAATTGCATGACATCATGCATCTGTATATTTCAAAGTTTATATTATAATAGAAAAAGTTAAAATTGCATTAAGATAATTTAAAAAAACTACTAAAACTATATTAAAACATGGAATAAATTCATTGTGCATATTATCAGAACCCATATATTTAAAGATATCTATATTTTCACCTTTGGTAAATGGAAAAGAACTATATAAACATTTTCTAAACCATTTTCTAAACTGTTACTATAGGAAAATTTGATTATCAAATTTTGATCATACTTAACCTATGAATACTAAAGAAATTCCACAACTTGCTTTTAGTAAAGGATTTGTACATTGTTATCCAACCATAACGGAGGTCATGGCTCATAATATTTTCTTCCATATTTTTTAGTTTTATAGTATTTTAAATGTGTAAAATATGTAAATTATAAAATAAATCTGAAAAATGTTCATTATAGTATATTTGTATTGATATAATCATGTGTTCATTAAAAATCTATCATTTTAGCCCTATTAGAAAGTTATACATTGTGAAACAACCTGATTAAAGATGTAATTGAAATATAAGGATTATAGTAAAACAGTAGTAGAGAAAGATCTAAATAATAGCAATGTTTTTTCAGTTTTTGAAGTGAAGTTTTAAGAAAATTGTATATATGTATATGTGCAAAATCCTGCCTTAAGGTAAACCATACCTGCTTTAAGTAGCTTTAGGAAAAACTTTAAATTCTGCTAAAACCTACTTTTAACTTCTCTAGATTGCTAAAAACAGTAATAAAATGCTTGTAAAGGGGGGGGTATACTAAATGCTCAGATGTGTTTTTACAAAACTGATACGATTATAATTATCTTTTTGACATGTTTACTTGTTTTTAAAATGAATTTGGAAGACTTACATATATCTATTGGGACATAACTGGGCTTAGTAATCAGGTTTTTATGGATGAAGCCGCTACCTATGAATTGCAGACAATATGCAATGCAGTTTTGGTATCTTTATTGTTAAACGTATTCAAAAATATTTTCAATTATCTTTACCTCTTTTAATCTTGAAGAGTATTGTTAAAGTCAAAAGGAACAAAGATTCAACTGTTTAAATGCAAAAGTCTTGTTAGGAAACATTATTCATAAATCATAAAGTAGATTATAACTTGTATTATTTATTATTATGCTACCTGACTCCTAGCAGCTCTGGATGTTGCAAGTAGTGAAAAACATTTAAAAACCAGGAACAGTACCAAAAAAAATAACCCAAAGGAACAAAGAGAAAAAAACCTGCATAAAACAAGGAAGAAAAGGGGCATTGATCATTCTCACCAAAAATCTGGGGGAAGAGCCACATTTTAGGGTCTTTTGAGATACCAAAAAATTGGAGAAAATTTCAAATCTGGGGGGAGCCTCATTCCATAGAGTATCTTCTGTATATGTATGTACATGAATATGCATATTCATATATAATTAAGTTGGGGATTTGGTGTAACTTTCTTACGTTAATATACCATTCTGAAAAATTGAATTGTATATACCGTTTGAATAATGTTAAATGCTTGAAATGTTGGTATGTGTTTTAAAGTAGTACTTCCATCAGCTTTTTTTCCAAATTGTTATCAATAATTCTAGTTCTTCAGCTTAATATTTATCTTGTCTTGAATTTATTTCTTTGACTTCTGTAAACAATGTATTCATCATTTGATTGTACAGATCTACAGTGAGCAATAAAGACAATCCAATCTAGATTATTTAACTGCAATATGAAAAATATAGTTTCAATTAGATAGAATGTAAAGAATATGTTTGTGTTTTTATTTTATAATTGTACACTGAAGATGACATTTAATTTCATTGTACTATGTGCAATGACAATAAAGTAAACTAAACTAAATAGAAGACATAATTTCAATTTATAGAAATTAAGGATTCTTAAGAATTTTAGAGAAATGTCTTGATTTTTCATGCTTTTTTCATGTATTGCTCATAAGTCTTTCCAACATTAAAAAACCATACTTAAGTAAAAGTTCTAGCATCTGAACCGTTCGCTTTCATTGTTAAATACTGTATAGTCTAGACAATAATTCTTGATGTTAGATGTCATATTACATTAATCTTATTCAAGCAGAAAATACGGAATGAAGCCAAAGATATGTGTTAGTGGTATTTCAGGAATTTTGTACAATACAGTTCATAAAGAAGAGTGAAAGAGAAAGGAATAAAAGTATAAAGGTTTATGAAAAAAGTAGCAGGGAAGAGCTTGTGCACATACTTTTGGTTTAGGGTCTCTCTTCCTCTCTTAACACTTGTATTTGAAGGACTGCTAGAAACAGTCCTGCTACTGGAAATAACCTGGCATCCAAGTTAGTGTTTGTGAATTAATGTATCTACTTTTGGATATCCATACATAATTATTCAATAAAAATCTAGGGCAGAGAAGGAACAATAAAATATAATTCTGTTATATAAAAATGTAGATGCCACCAGGTTTAGAAACTTGGGAATATAGTCATTAAATTTTATTACAATCTTAAACCTTAAATTTATTCTAAACGAGTTAAATCAAAAAATGTTACTTCAAGTTCTTAAAAGAAATATCCAATTGTAGTTAAATGCTAAAGTATAACATATTTTGGACATTTTAGTTATGAAACCAGATTTTCAGAAATGCTTCAAAGTGTTACAGATGAGTAATGAATATCCCTTCCATGTTAAAACTGTTTAGAAAGCTTGTTCTCAATTGGAAACATTCAAAATTGAGTCCTCTAGAACAGAGGTCCCCAACCCCCAGTCTGGACTGACATGGCTCCATGGCCCTTTAGAAACCAGGTCGTCCAAGCAGTGGGCCAGCATGCAAAGCTCCATTTGTGCAAGCAAATCCCCCCCCCCTCCATTGCAGTGGAGCTGGAAAGGTTGAGGATCCTTCTGCATATTACTTCACATACTTCCAGCTGGAGAAATGATTTACAACTATATAAATATAAACTGGGAACTCGCCACAGGCCATGTTCTTTTATCAATTCTAAATGACATTCACCATCATTTGATTATCCCTTTTTAATTTACATTTCCAGATCATTCCAATAATTTATATTTGCCTTATTTTTTAGATAATTAGAATATATCTCTTAAAAATAGCAAAATTCTGCTACATTGTGGAAACATCCACAAATGATTGTCAGCAATCACTGATCTTCGTGATTAAGTGCTTTGTTTTACTGAATCCATTTTTTATGATTGAAATAATTTTTTTCAGTGAACTCAGCTCTTGGGAGAATATAGAATTAATGTGCCTAAAAGCTGATGATAATAGCAGTACAGAAGAATCTTAACAGGATATATAGTATTGGCTCAGAAAAAATCTTCGGAAAAGCATGGTATTTCCTGTCAACGTTTAGGGAATATGTTATATTCTGGCACATCCTGATTAGCAAAATGACTAGTCTTTAAATGAGAACTACTTGTCTATGGAAAATATCCATAGACAACCGTTTGTATAGCACAGCTTGCAATTTTATGTCAAAAAATTCTGCTAATCATTTGTTTAATAGTTATATATAAATTCTAGCATAAAAGTGATGATTTTTCTTATGGAATTTATAACAACGCATAACTTAATTTGAATCTGGTTTGAACAGCTAAACTCATGGTATTTGCAAACATGTTTGTTCTATTACAAAATATCACTTTAGTTATAACTATTACCTATAGCATTGTAGATGATTTTTAAAATATATTTTGAAGACCAGTTGCCAAATATATTCAAGTCTAAATCAGGCATCAAAACCAATCTTTAATTCAGAATCATAAGCTATTCAAAATAAAATTGAAGATTTTTTGCCCTTGCATTCTCCTTGCCATATCTACTGTAACTTAAATTACTTCCAAACTGTTACATCAAGACTCATTTTTTCTTATAATTACACCCAATTATGGGGAACTCCCATCACAGTAAGCTGCTCCAATAAATGTATATGGTTTTTCAAAACATCATTCTGAAGAAAAAAATTAGAATGAAATACTTGTATTTACATAGTATAGAATTTTTCAGACAATCTCAGCTAATTCATGTTTCATTGTATCCAGATGCTTAAACTATACTAATCAGAGATTGCCTTAATTCCAGATACAGGTATTCCATCTGTGCTGCTTTGAAAGCTTACTTACCGCAGAGCCCAATGATTGCTGGGATGGAAAATTGTTTGTGAGCCTGGTTGTTATTTATTTACTTATTAAACAGTCTTTCAATCATGTTGGAATGGCAGCTAATGGTTGCAGCAAGTATTTAGCTGTGCACCAAATAGCAAAATTACCATGTTACTGAGTCCACTTCAATTTTAACCTTTCAATGTTTTCTTGCCATCTATATTTTGTATGGAAGAAGTCAGAAAAAGATAATTGAGCAAGATACAGGAACACAAGCAAGATAGAACTTGGCAACCAGATTTTTTTTAAAAAGCAAAAAGCAGTTGTGCCATAGATTTGTAAAGAGGTTGCCAATTTGGCAATGTGACTATTTTAATTACTGTTAATAAATTATTTCAATTAGGTAATTATATACTATTTGTTTTAAATTTTAGTTGCCTTTAGTATTGTATAAAGAATACACCATGGGTGGCACCTTTGCAATTTTGATACCATTTTGTGCTGTCAGAAAATAGGTTCTGCAGTAGGGGTGGCAGCCTCATAAGCCTCTCTGGTAATTAACTCAATAGATAAAGCAGTATATTTCAGAGATATTAATCAAATGCATATAAACCACAAAGAATAAGGAAGTGACATATAGGCATCCAACCCAGTGTCTAGGAAGGATGATCAGAATATGGGTTAGATAAGATGCAGTGGAAAGCTTTTAATTAAGTATTGTCTGAATATAGATGTCTTTTTTATGGAACTAATACATATTTTCTCTTTCATTATATTATCTCATTTATTAAGATGCCTTGCAGAATTCATCAAGGATGCCCTTTATGACTCAGTTTGATAGCTTAACTATTGCCTTAGACAATACTACAGTTCAAGAATCAGAGATCAGGATTACATATACATCGATTTATTATATGCCAGTAGTATATTATCTGATCAGTCATGTATTTTCTATACCACAACCCGTAAATAAATTCTGCATTCAATTAATTGAAATTAACCAGCAAGGAAAAAGCTGACTTGACTGCTGACTCAATAAAACACCGAAGGCCATCTTAATGAAATGAATACAATTTTGTGAGTGATACATCCTTCCTGTTGGTTTTCTTTAGCACTTTTTCACCAAGCAGAAGACTTTTACACTGAACTTATATATATCTTAAAATATACAGGTAGAAAAGCAATACAATAAAAATAACATTTAATTTCACAATAAAGTTTGATACTGTATTTAGATTGTTCTTAGACTTTCATTATTTGATTCATATAATTTCATAGCAAATTTCTATACTTTTACCGATCAGCTATAAATCCCACAGAAATACCCATCCAATATAAACAGCCAAAATGAGTTTTTCTCTTTATTTTTTTACGATTCTATTTTAAAACACTATTGTGAATACATTTTTTCTGGTTTTTCAGCTTTCTTCTTAATTGCACTAAATATTTTTCAAAACACATAAAATATATCCCTTTGCTAAGCATTTTTGTTCTTAAATTACAAAAAGTTTGACATTTCACAGTCACAGTGTTAAGTACATTAATCTAAATCATTTTTACCATCAAAGTCTTTTCATCATTTAGAATGCTGACCCTAGAAAATAATATATTCCATAAATATAATCACTATACCACTAAAATAATGGGCAGCCGTTGAATTAAAATGTAATACAGTGGGGGAAAATAAAGCAGAGGTAGGAAGGGAAAGGGTTCTTTCAAGTAAAGTACAGATATAATTTGGCAGAATGATTGCCTACAACATCTCTAAAAGAAAACAAAATAGATTGAGAATGTGCAAATGTTTGTAAAATGCAAACTGCAATAGTGCATGTACGAAGAGCAAAGTACCAAAATAGACTTGGTAGGGTTGTAGCGCTTCATTATCAAAAGCAAGAATCAAACCTCAGAGAAAATACATACAATGACTACTTTACTTTCAGCAATTTGACAGTTCTTGACACAAAACTATTTCAATACTGCTTGGAGGCCAAGATAATTTCTCATGTGCTACTGATTTTAGATTGTAAGATGAATCCTTTTCCATGGGCATTGTAAGTAATGAAACAATCTTAGATAATTTGAATTGGAATATTTCATTTCAAAATATAATTGTTAGCTATAATTGGAAATATTTGTTAGAAGAATCACCCTCAAAATATTGCTTAATTGGTTAAAGGAAATTTTGGATTACCATATTTTTCGGAGCATAAGACACTCCAAAGTATAAGACGCACCTAGCTTTTGGGGAGGAAAACAAAGAAAAAATATCTGCCTCTGCCTCCCAGCAATTTGCCTCCTTACATAAAACAGCAAACAATGCAGACAATATATACTGTAGTGTTACATTTCAGACTATACTTGTACAGATGCTGTTAAAATTGATGTGCTTTCTGAAAGTATAGTTATTCTCTGCTGTTTAAAAGAAGATACAATAGCACTGGGCTTCTTCAGATCAAGCATTTATTTTAAAAAGCTTCTTCATTTTGTTAAGCTGTCTAGAACAATAATAAAGCAGTCTTTAACAAGTAAGTCTAATAATTTGAACATTCTATAGGCATTTATAGTTATTGACTTACCTCCTTGCACAAACAGCCTGATTAGCACAAGAAAAAAAAATCTACCTCCCAGCAATTTGCCGCAAGGAGCAAACAGCAAGTTTCACTTTCAATTTCTCCCAATCATCAGCTGTTTCAGGCTGCAGGGATTGCTATCCTCTTGTACCCTCCGCAAGCCCCCATTTGCTGCAAGGAGGTAAATTTCTGGGAGGCAGAGGCCAAAGGATTTGGGGCTGGTGGGTGGGTGGGGCTAGATTCAGTGTATAAGACGCACCAAAATTTTCACCTTCTTTTAGGGAGGAAAAAGGTGTGTTTTATACTCTGAAAAATACAGTGCACAGTTGTTAAACTTAAACCTAATAATGCAATTAATACATCTCTTGGAATTTTTAAAGATCCATGTTGTTGACTTAGTACCTGGTAAATAACATGGATAATTTAAATCTCTCTATTAGCAATATTTTTTCTGAATTTTACCCGAATTTATATTTTCCTAGAAATGTTTTCAGTCAGATTTTAACTGAGACTGGTTTTTTTTAAGAACAAGTTTCCTCAGTTGGGGATGAGTGAAGGAGTGAAGCTGGGTATTAAGTTTTGTTTAACAAAAAAACTCAAGATCTTTAATATATAATAACAAAATTACAATCTGGTTAATTTTTAATATTTTGGTATGTGGCATAATTACTTTTAAGGTAGCCTTCCTCAGTTTACTTTGTTCCATATGTGCTAGACAATTCTTCCAATGCCCCCAATGACCAAAGCTCAAAGTAATCCAAATACTAATTTGGAAAATATAGACTAGTATATCTGGAGAAACCTGCTCTAAATAATAATAAACTATAATAGAATTAATTATTAAAGTATTATTTCACATGCATTCATGTAGAAGGGATGTTATATAAGTCTTAGCTAGGTTTTCCTAACATAGTGTAACTTTCTTAAGAAAAAGAGAGAGATATACCATTTGATCCCTCTCGGTTGAGATTGGCAAGATTTCATTTGCAATCTAATAACAGGGCATGAAATCTACTCCAACTCTATCATATGCAGAAATTGCAGGAATTGATATAATTCCTTCAATAATGTATTGTTCTAGAAGACTAAATTCTTTGCAAAGGTTTATAAATAGCTGCTACTTAAGTTCATCTGGATATTACTCAAAGACATATAAAATACACTTCTTTGGGGGAGGGAGGGAGATCAGTTGTTGACTCAAAGCAATCTTGAACAAGATCAAAACTTTGAAGAAGCTCTGCAGCAATAGAGATGAAAGGAAACCTAAGTGTCAGCTTAATTTTCTGAATTTAGTTAAGTGAGTCAATGTTGATTGGTTTGCATTAGATTGACATGGCTACCTTTTTTTAATTGTCCTGACTAGGACTTTGGGTATTTGCAGGAAATATTTGCTAGCCATTACAGTGTTAAGACAGATCTATTACAAAGATATTTATCATTGGCTTCCATGTGTTATTTTGATATAAGGATGTCACTGCTCCTAGAAAAACACAAGGCAGTCAATTCTAATACTACTGTGGGGAGAGTGTCAAGGGATAGACACAAAAGCAATATTACACTGTCATGATGCAACCCTCTCCCTTTTACACATATGGCATAAGATCACATCTACATCCAAAAGAGGTGGATTTTGTGGCACAATTGCATGATCTTGCATTCATAACTGATGAAAAACAGGAAGCTTCTACAGATACCCATGTTTTTCTTTATGCCAATTAAGTAGCAACTGCAAAGATGCAAAATCACAACATTGGAATTGAATCTGTGTTGTCAAGTATTAGATTACAGTAAAACTAGCAATTATAGAAAGAGTAACTGCACAGATAATGTATTAGTGGTGAATACATACAATTCCTGCTATTGAGTATTCGGAACCATTTTTATGCCCAGATGTCTAATAAGGCTATAATAAAATATAGTGTGTCCATGTGATAGAACAGTGGTCCCAACAGTGGTCCAGCTCCACAGACCGGCAGCAGCAGTGGCAGCAGGTGAAGAGGGGATGTTTCCCTTGCATAATCTAGTTCCTGTGCACGTGCAAATGAAATTTCACACGTTTGCCCACTGTTTGTGTGATCCTCTTCCCAATGGTACACAGATCAATTCAGGTCTACAGCCTGGGGGGGTTGGGAACCCCTGTGGTAGAACAACATAAAAATTAAACCTGTACTTTTAATTACCTAGTGAGACAATTTGTGTCTAAAGAGGGTTTAAGTGGTGGAAGTGAGGAATATGATAAAGCAAATGAAGACAAACAACACAATAGCACATTTTTGCATACACATACTGCATTAGAAAGTGATGATGAACCAGTGACAGTATTTTACCCAGAAAACACTGATTTCACATATGTGAATGAAATGAAACTGAACATCAATAGTGACCCACATTAAGAATTACTTGAACTGAAAAGTACATACTGTGAATGCAGAAATACATTATGTGTAATATCTACTTCCAGATTTCTTTACAGTGTTGCCAAGACTCTACACTATGAAACATTGTTTATAACAGTTTCATGAAGCCTACTATAAAATACATTATTGCATACATATTTAGAGATGTCATAGATTAATTATCTTTTTAACTGTTCAGTTATAGATTCAAACTTATTTACAATAGTACTACCCTACTGAGGGAAATGTTTGTATTGATGCAAAGACAGTATATGAAATACCTGCCTCACAAAAAATATCAACTTAATACTATGAAGATGGGAAAATGTTAAAAAAAAAAGACATGGAAACAGATAGAACAATTTTTTTGGTATGCTGAAAACTTGTTTTTTGGAAATTATTTGAGATCTCTCAAAAGTTGATCTCTTATTTTCCAGCCATATGATTTAATTTTTAAATGACATAGAATGTGCTACTAGATTTCTTGATTGAGAAGATAATACCTGAGGAATACAACTCAAGCATCCAATTCCAGAAGAGGGGGTTTGCATTATGTATGTATAATTATGAATACTTTGCTTGAGTAAGTTTCTTACTAGAATATTTATTCCTATCTATTTTGATATTTTATTAATATTGACAATTACAAATGAACTAATGATGCTTGTTCTTCAGAAATTCTTGCTATACTACATGGATCTAAAATTTACATCTTACCTGCTACATCCTGGCAATGGAATACAATAGAAGCAGTAAAAGAAATTAATGCTCAAAGAATACAGTAGGCAAATGGGAGAAGCTTATTGTTCTAATACTTACTAGCATTAAATAGCTAAAGAAAACAAGACAAACATTTAACCAGAGCATCCAAATCAACAGTATTTGTAGGGAAATTCTTTCAATAGGAATACCATATCCTGTTGAAAGAGAAGACCAAAGTATCTAATGCATGAAAAATCTGATAACAAATAAATATTAACTAAAATAATCTTCCAGTCTGCTACATCATAGCTACACACTTGACAAAAATTTAACACAAAAATAGATTTACCACCCAATGTTTCTCTATTCTCTTAGGCAATTTTATTGACAGTTGCTAGACTGAAACCATAAAAAGGCTAATTTCACCACCAAGCACATAGAAAAATCTATACATTTTCATTACACTGAAGAAGGGAAGAAATCTTGAATTAATATGCATAAGCAAACTCTAAAACCTCTCCACTGAAACATCATTACGTTCAGCAAACAATACCTAAGTAGATACCAGCTTTTCTAACTTTAGTAATTATAAATTAGATGTCTTCTAAATTAAAGTCAGCTAGCACAGAAACTGGGAAAATAAAGGCTGCCTATCCAGTTTCAATTATGGTCGTCCCAATTCAAATTTCATTTAGCATTCCAGGCTACATTACATTGGGAGAAATAAATTCAGTTAGATTACAACAGTGTCCTCACCAGGAGGGATATTAAAAAGAAAGCATTAAATATAGTAGCAGTGCTGAAGTTCTGGTCCTGATATCAGGGGTGAAATATAGCAGGTTCTGACAGGTTCTGGAGAACAGGTAGTGGGAATTTTGAGTAGTTCAGAGAACCGGCAAATACCACCTCTGGCTGGCCCCAGGAGTGGGGAGGGAATGGAGATTTTGCAGTATCCTTCCCTTGCCACGCCCACCAAGCCGTGCCCACAGAACTGTTAGTAAAAAAAATTGAATTTCACCACTGCCTGTTATGTACCAATAATATAAGCTTAGGGAAGCTGCAACCTCTAAGAGATTATGTGAAAATCAGCCGTAGCTTTCAAGTACAAAGAGATCAGGTTACTCAAGCTTAAGAGAATGTTTGAACCACTATTTTCAATTATCAGAAAACTATATTTTCCAAAGGACGTTGTTAATCAAATGTTTCCTGTTACTAGCACTGATGCTGCTTTTACAAGAGTTTATTTCCATGTATTAAAGGGATGACGAAGACCGAAATGTCATCTCCTGAGCCCAGTCGGTCATTGGATATTCTCCAGCCTCTGTCCTTCAGCACTCCCCTAGCTCGCATTACCAAATCCTGAGCTGCTAGTGTGTACCTGTAGGCAAAGAAGGAAAAGCCAATATTGAAAACTGCTATTCAAACTGTTTGATAGATGGGCCATATTAATCACCATAAATTTGCTTTATCAACATTCAGATTTCACTACCTTATTCAGAGTCTTCAGCCAGGACGAAATATTCTGACTGTTTTGAAAAAAGTTATTTTTTCAAAAAGTTAGCAGATGAGAACATAATTTGCACACAATTTTCGATGTGGAAGGAAAGTGTTGCAATATAAACATTGCAAAGTTATTACCCTTGGGATCTTGAGCAAGGTAGGATAAGTCTGATTAGGCACTGGGAAACTTAAATTATGATTACATGAGGCAAAGCTGCAAAACAGAACTCCCAAGATTAAAGTAAAGCAGATACTGAGAGATCTGTTATTATGTTTCCTATTAACGGTATATTAGAGAAATCTAAACTGAAGTAGGGTTTGAATGCTACAAAAGAAGGGAATTGATTTTTTCTCCATTTTGAAAAACATACAGACTGAAATACAGGTAATCCCCAGGTTATGAACATTCCCTTAGCGATTGTTCAAAGTTATGCAATAAGTGCCCCCTAGCGTTTACAAAGAAGTATTGAAACTAAAAACCCGCAGCACCATAGCAGTTGTTGATCCTTATGAACAACCACAGAGGCTGTGCAGCATTCGTCCTGCACGTTGCAGGCCGAAATGAAGCTTCCAAGGGGCAGATCAGAACTCCATTTCGGCTTGCAATGCGCTGGGAGAGGCCCACGGAGGCCCGAACAGAGCACGCAGCTGAGAGGCTAGAGAGAAGATTGCTTGCTAGATCTTCACAAGGTAAGTACCCAGAGCAGCAGGTTGGGAGGGGGAGAAATTGTGGAGAGCATGAGGTATTTCAGTGGGTTGGGGAGGCCTTGGGTGGTCTTAAGCAGATGGCCTGTTCCATCACTAGACTCCCCCAAATAGTGAATGTGTAGGCAAAAGGTGGGAGTGATCCCGTTCCAAGGTACGAGATCCGCTTCCTTGAATTCCCGGGTTATGAATGGAATAGGCAGGCTCCATTACATTCGTAACTTGATTATTTGTAAAACATGATGCCCAATCAGAAGATGTGTAAGATACAAGATTTCATATAATACATGTATTACAAATACAAGATATCTATTTTTTTGTCTAATGTCTCTTAAATTTTTTCTCCCCCAAAAGTAGTAGGAAGAGAGCATTTATCCTCCATCATATAGCAGAAGACCAAAGGATAATTTATACCGGCCAAGAGGCAACTAATCTGGCATAAACAACCACAGATATATGTGCAACAACATACTGATATATAAAGCAGAGTATTCATCTATTTCATATATTCCAGGCTTTATTTCCCACTTTCTATTCTTGTCCATACTAGTTGAAACCAACAAATTCAAAGCATCTGGAACAAACCCAAGTTGCCTATTTGTGATTTAGAATATGTATAACAATACACTGGAAATACTGGTAGAAAAGGCTTGTAATCTTTCATCCTTTAAATACAGTTGCTTTAAGTGTAGTGAAAATTAAGAAACGTAGTATTAGAGATTCTCAATAGTTAAAATAAAAATATACAGGTTATTAAAGAAGAAACAATGCTAAAATTAAACAAGAGCAGGCAAATGGAAGTTAAAAAATGATAGAAAATAAATAAAGCATGTAAATAATGAAGACTGCTTTTATTTCTTGGCAATACATGAGCAAGATGTTCCGAGTAATCTGAAGATTAATATCAATAACATTACATCATGCCTTCTCCTCTAATGTAGTGAATCTGAGATGCAGCTTTTAAAGCAACTTTACAAAATTGTTGAAGTATCTTTCAAGCAATCAGTCATCCCTAATGAAGTGCCTAATTGGTATAGCACTTCAGAATATACATTTGCTTCTCCCTGAAACTTATTGATTGTGGAACTACTGCAAAGACAACAAAAGGCACTTTGGGCAAGCAATCTGAACTGTCCATTTTTATTTACTACCTTGAAAAAGAAACACTAATAATAAGTGAAGAGCAGAAAGAAAAATGAGACACAGCTCTCATTTGAATTCTCCTTAAGACCTACTCCTATAATATCACTAATAAGTAACAATATAAAAGTGGATCTTAAGGACAATTTAAGAAAAAAAATGACCAAAAGATGTACTCAAATTTCAGAATACTAAATTGATATCTTGAGCAAGGTTGCTGCTTTATTGAGACCTAGGATTTCTTCTACTAAACAAGATGTGTGTTTGTGCACACGAGCACATCTGTGTGTTTATACATGCATACATGCAACGATATTGACAAGAATGTTGTTTAAGAAGTAGTCTGTCAGAAATAACTTTTATTTCATGAAATAAAAGAAGTTTGTAAATCTAAAACTGCATGTGAACAAGTGATCTAGTTGAAAAGTTGCAGAAATACCTCATATCTAAAAATTTATCTTGTTTTCAAATCTAATAACTGCCTGGAGGTACAGTAACTAGTCTAGGTTTTAGGTAGTGTATTAAAGCTGGATGCTTACTAGGAACTAAGTTTAATTGTGCATTGCAGTACAAAGTCTACAAAACAGAAGCTTGCACAATTTATTTATTTTGATATACATTAGGATTACAAAAATGCTCAACCATCAGTATACTTTAAGATATGTAATTATGAATTAATTCAGGTATTACTTCCTGTTTAATACCCCTTTCCTACCCAAACTGACATTTATTCACATTCACATTCAAATTCACATACTAGAACAAGATGTTTGTCCATATTCTAGGATTTCTCTGTGCTTGCATTTTTCAGAATATGACCATACAATCAGTCCATCAATCACTGCTATATGCAGGCATTCATCTTTGTCTTTACAAAGTGAGTGAATATCAGAGTTGGAAAGCAGATCAGCTTAAACGTTTTTTTAAATGGTCTTCTTCCCTACAGGGCATAGAATAGCTTTGGTCAGTTTTTAAGCAATAGCTGAACCTCCAAAATCTATACTTCACAAAAGCGCATCTCTTAATTTTAACATATGCAGACAGTAATAAATATTTTATTTCTTTTCAGAATTCAGAAATAAGTAAAATTTGCTTTGGTGCAAACTGAACTGATTCCACCACATTTTCGTTTACAATCAATTTTTATTTGTATATATTTATATTCATCTTAAAATTTTAGAACTAAAATTAGCCTCTTGTGAAATACAGTACAAAAACCATGCTGAAAAAGCTTTTTGTTCTAAGTGGTAAGCAAATGTTATAACAAAATACCCTCAATGTTATCCTCAGGAAAAAGTAGGACAATTTCAAGATAGCTTACAGAAGAGAACGTTTAAGGTTACATGCCTGTGTGGGTCATCAGGGTCACAGTTTGGCAGGAAATTAGTGATGGCTTCTAATACTTCTTCGTTTAATAGTACATCCCAGAGTCCATCAGTAGCTAAGATAAGCACATCATCCGGTCCATGCTCATACTGGAGAATATTATAAACTCTTACCTGAAAAATCACCCATGGAAAGCAAAAAGAGAAGAGCTTTTAGGAAATTGCCATTATGTCTACCTGTTTCTAGAAATGGTGCTTTATTCCACTATCAATAAATGAAAATGTGGGCATATAATTATCTTCCAAAGTTCTAAACTGTCCCCAGTTTGTTCCAATTTCCTTTTCTCTGGATGTTTTGTAGTCTAATCCTTGTAATTCCAGCCTTTGATCAAGTTGACTTGAGGTGGGTGGGGACGGGGGGGCGTAATCAAAATAAAAAAGGAAAACAGTTCTTCACAGAAGAACGGAAGAAAGGCCATTCTTCCCTTTGGAAGAATTCAGGATCCAGAATCTGTAAAACAAAAACAAAAAAACTCCCACCTCAAAAATAAATTTATCAGGAGAACATTACAAAGTTTAGATTACACATACTTACATGTTGAAAAAATAGAGATTTGTTTAAAATTATTCTCACATGAAGATTATATTCTATGTTATTCAATTGTCTGTTTGTAAAACACTAGTTTTTAATTGCCTACACGTACCTTCATTATCAAATCATCTGGTTCCTTGATTTTTAAAAAAATCACTGAATTATCAAGGATTTTAATTACTTCATCACTGACTATTTTTAAAGAAATGAAGTAACCTTATCACAGCAGGTAATAGGAAATTACTATTTAGATCAGGATTCAGAAAAACATGCACCTGGTCTGTAATGTTACATTAACGTAGTTGACAATTGGTGGCTTGGGATATGTTTTGACAATGAAAGAAAAGAGCCATTCATCATATTTTGTGTTTTGTTCATATTTGAAATCTAGGACAGAAAAACAGAACTTCAACACTTTAAGAAGTTTGGTTTCAATACTTACTGTTTGTTTTCTTGTTAAATAACCCCAAATAGAGTTTAAAAGAACTGTCATTTTAATTTGATTTGCTGAAATGGGAAAATCAATGAAGGATTTAAATGCTGATGAACTAAAGGTAAAAGTTTCCCTGTCAGTCGTATCCGACTCTCGGGCACAGGGCTCATCTCTGTTTCTTGTCTGAGAGAGCCAGCATTGTCCAAAGACAGTTTCTGTGGCCATGTGACCAACATGGCTACACATGGAATCTTCCACCAAAGTGATACCTATTAATCTACTCTACATGGATATAATTATTCAATCCTCATTAAAAATATCAAAATGGTAGAACTATAATTCAGAATTTGGAAAATCAGTACTAACACACATAACTTGTATCATGTTTTCTCGAAAATACAACAGGGTCTTATTTTCTTCTGACTCAGAAATAAGAGTTTGGCCTTGTTTTCGGGGAGGTCTTATTATTTTTGAGGTGCAGGAGGCGTCAAACATGGTCACCTCATGATGCTGCTAATATTTTCAGGGAGGGCTTATTTTTGGGGGAGAACTTATTTTAACACATGCGCTCAAAAGCCTGATTAAGCTTATTATCCAGGGAGGTTTTATTTTGGGGAAAACAGGCTATCTTTTCTCCCCTTCAAGAATCTACTTAGTTTTCTAGAATCCCAATAGACACCATACTGAGGGCATATTTGCGTTAGCCCCTTTTTAGCAAGTATAGTGCTAACATGCTGACTAATGCAAAATTGGTCAAGAACCCTCATTTCAATTCAAGGTTTTTATTTAAAGGATGTATGAAGTTTGAACATAGGAAAACAAAAATAAACATAAACCAGGAAAGTGAAGGCTGCAACATCTTGGACCTTAATGTGATTAAGCTGCAACATCTTGGAGAATTGTGTTACTTTTAGCTTTCTAATTAACCCTGGCATAAATAGTGTTTATGAAATATCTAAATGCTAGTCTGCAGGGAAAAAATTGGGTCATTTAATCTCTTGGATCAATATGAAGTAAATTAAGAGGTCAAAAATGAGTACCAAACATTCAACTCATTTAAATAAATTAATAAATTTGTGGCATGTGAAAACACCAACCAGTTATAATTATAGATTTATTAGAAGTGATTGGCAATATTTGCTTCACTTGCTTAATTAACTAAAAGCTAAACATCATATTGTATATAACCAGAGGGTAATACACAAGGCTGCCTTAAATTGTCTTTATGTAGAGAAGAGAAAGAAGAAGCCACTTACACTTATGACCTGCTTTTGATAACCTAGTAGGCAATTGGGAGTATTGTATCTTCGAGGCAAAAAACTATAGAATGTTTCTTTAATATTTCTTGATTCTAGGTCACTTTTGGCAGAAAACAATTCATAAAAATAGAAGTTTCTCATCTTATGCCCACCCTTCAACCTTAAAACACCAGTTTCAATAACCTGAAAGAATTGCTACTCCTAGAATAAAGCTATGATGTCTATGACTAGCCTTCTATAGTATGTATATAGTATGTCAAAGCCTTTCAAGGCATTTAGCTCCACTTAAAAAAAAGGAAATGGGCTTTTTAAATGACTTCATGTCTATTTACCTACATATACATCTTCCTTTTCAATTGGAAAGGCTCATAAAGATTTTCAGATAAAAACAACACCAATATCATATTATTATTATTTTTAAAAAGAGAGATTATGCCCACAGATTTACAATAAAAAAAGATGTGACTCGCTCATTTGCTCTAATTGTTTTAGGTTAGAAAATCTTCACTATATAAGTCCCACTAAATACTTGGTTTGATCATCTGTTTCTTAAGTAATAATATTTCTTAACTGAAGTATTTTCATGTGGATTCACTTTAAATCTTTTACATGCACAATAATAATACAAAAGAAGCTTATACATGTTTCATTGGTTTTTAAAGAAAATATTGGTTTAATTCATGTTCCCGTGTAACAGATATATAAATGTTCTACCTCTGGTGAGCAGGACAAAAACGGTTTGATGTAGATGTTCGAGTCATGCACCTTCAGGTCATGATCTCCAAGCCCTCTTGTAACCCCAATAGTTGCCATGACACGAGCCTAGGAAGAGATAAAACCCATAAAAGCATGGGAATACTGGAGAAGACTAGGGGAAAGATTCTTGAGCAAGGAAAAAAAAACCTTAAGAATACATAGTAAAAAAATGATAGAATTGGCTGTTGAACAGCTACCACTTTAAATGATTCCAAAGGAGCTATTTATCCTAAGTGTTGTGTGCTATCATTTGACACTAAAGTACCATGTTTTCCCCAAAATAAGACAGGGTCTTATTTTCTTTTGACTCCCAAAATAAGTATTTGGCCTTATTATTTTTGAGGTGCAGGAGGCGGCGAGCATGGTCATCTCATGGCTGCTGCTCTCTTGCAATTTTTTCAGGGAGGGCTTATTTTAGGGGGAGGGCTTATTTTAGCACAAAAGCCCGATTGGGTCTTATTTTCAGGGAAACAGGGTAGCATTCCTTAAATTGTTGTTGTCTTCCTATCTGACTTATAGAACATAAACATGTCTTTGACTGTGTGGCTTTCCTCATACACACCTTGCAGTAGGGTGTTTGCTACCATCAGAAGTCAAAATCAACCTTCAGAAATTCCTACTATAAACCAGTGGTTCTCTTTTTGCAATCTCTTCTCTCTTCTTTTGCAAAGAGAAAACAGAATTTATCTTCTTTCCCCAAAACTGTCTTTCTTAGAATCATTGTTGTGATACTATAATCTCCAATCCCCCTAAATGCAGTGTGGCATTCTTCAGGTTACTTTTCAGTGATATTAAATTATTCTAAAATATGCAGCAAATGGGAAGAAGGGAGAAATACATATATACAGAGGGGAAAAAGGTGCAGAAATACTGTTGAAAAAACAAAATTCTGGTCTGGCTGACCAGAACAGCCAGACCAACACAGAAGTCCATATGATTAACTGAATTAAGCAATCAAGCCACTAGAGAAGAAGGGCTTATAAATGTGATGAGCAATCTTGAGATCACAGAATCATCACACTCCTCATAGATCCACATCTTCAGAATTGATGGGGTCAGTGTTATAATTTATTTTCTAATTCTGTATTTGGCAATTGGTTGCTATTTTGACAAAATTATTTCTCAGTCTCTGATCCAAGAGCCGAGGTGGCGCAGTGGTTAGGGTGCAGTACTGCAGCCACTTCAGCTGACTGCTAGTTCTGCAGCTCGGCGGTTCAAATCTCACCGGCTCAGGGTTGACTCAGCCTTCCGAGGTGGGTAAAATGAGGACCCAGATTGTGGGGGCAATATGCCGACTCTGTAAACCGCTTACAGAGGGCTGAAAGCCCTATGAAGCGGTATATAAGTCTAACTGCTATTGCTATCCACATCCCTGAATGAACTGTGAATGCAGCTAAAAACAAAACAAAACTAGTAACTAGAAATTCAGCAGGCATCCTTATTGCTCTAAACCTATTTGATCTCCACAACTGTTCAAAACTGCACAAATCCAAAAGTTTTTTTCCCAGTTTAAAAGATGATGTATAACTGTACAATCAAACTGCAGAACTGCCTATCCAAACTTTTTTTTTCTTTTCAAAACCTCTCTATCCTAATTGCCTTCAAATGCATACTTATATAAAGCAAACAAAAATCAAAATAAGACAGTTCAGCAATAAAAGTAAATGAAACTGCTTTTCTCTGAAACAAGCTTCTTGTCATGGAACCTAGGAACTGAAACATTAGAAACAAAATATTATTTTATGTTGTCAGAAAAATAAAGTGAAGAAAGTAGAAAACCCCAAACAACTTAGGGCTAAATTGAGTAGTAAATATGATGCAACACTCAGATTCCTGTCACAGAAGGATTATTCCCACCTTCTTTCCTTCTCCATATATAAGGGGAAACTTCAAATCATCCTCTTCAATGGTTTTGTATGCCCTAAGGAAGGAATAAAATAACTTTATAAAACTTGGAATCAATTATCAATCCAGTCCTTTAACACAGTTTTCTCCCTGTTCTCTTTCTCAGCATATTTATTTGCTTCATCTTTGCAATATATTCCCATATTTTCTCTCCTCTTGAGCAAACCCCCCCCCAAGCTTATATTGCTTGTACAAATTATAAGGAGCATGATGAAAATTTTACAAATAAAAATATACTTTTTGGTATAATAAAAGATGGGAAACTAAGCGAGATCCCTTCCTATTATCCCAACTGCTAGTCCAGCATCCCTCAATTAGTAATACAAACGCATAAACAGATGAAGATCAGAGAGGGTGATGAAACAAGTTAGCAAGAGACTGAAGTAACAGCAGAACCATGAGGAGGATGAAGCAAAGAAAAAGCAAGAGAGAGTTCAAGAGGTCAAAAAATATATTAGTGTTAAACTGGTTAAATGGCCACAAATATGTAGTCAGTCAGTAATCCTTCTTAATATGATTAAGAAAAAGAACAAGAAATAATCCTGGAGTTCTCATTTGGGGAGCTGTTACCCATTTTTTTATCAACTTCCTCATCCAAGTAGAGACTGTTTTTCACCCCTCCAGTCTGGCTTTCTAAATAGGTGAAATGATAGATTTATCACTGACAATTCCTTGCAGCCATTGTAGGATGTCACCAGTTAGATTTTCTTCCAAATTACAATGGTTTTAACTGGGATTGTCTGTTCTGCTCAAGAAAACAAAAGCAGTTGTGAATAAGCATCTAGATAGCATGATAGATCTCCCCTGCAATAGTACAGTAACCCAAAGGAACACGGCTCTTCCTATGTTTGATCTATGTAACTATAATATTTAGATTTTAAACCACAATAGTACAGTCTATCTATCTTTTCTACTCCTTTACAGGATGAGATTTTCTATAAAACAGAGTTCTGCTACCACCTAATTAGCAAGTCACACAAACTCAAGAAGGTTCTTTAAAAGATGACAGCAGGACCTCTTAGGAAAGATTGAATTAATCCCTCAGTGGCATTTTTTACCTATCAGCAAACCACCCCAAAGTATTCAGCTTCATGAGAAACACATCACTATTCTTCATTAGCATGAAGGTAATTCTTTTACCTATAGGCAACTCAAACCTGGTGTTATTCAAGAAGGTCATGTTTTAATACAGGATTAGAAACTACTCTATTCTCATTATATTTTCTTAGGGAAACATTGTACAAACTAATGTAAAATATTAAATATTTTAAAATATTAAATAAAATACAACTAACAAAATATATTAAGAATAAGATCAGAGAGCGAGAACAGACTCCACTGCATAATTTTTCTAATTTGGGATTTTTCCTCACTCTTTGCTCCAACAGTTTCTGCACACCCTCTCAACTTGTTCTCTGGACTCAATTTTGGAATAGGGCATGGAAGAAGGAATATTACTATTCCCCCATTCTATAAAGAAATCACCAAAATTCCTCAGTAGTTTCTGTCTCATAAATGTAGATACTGAAGTGTTGATTCCCAATTTAAACCTATAAATGAAAGATCCCCCCCCCCCACTTTGTAGAGCGGAGAGATTAGAGAGAAAGGAATTGCAAGGAAGTAAGTTGTTTCTTCTTCTATACATCAAAAGCAATATAATTGCAAAAGCAATCTGGGACTGGGCCCTGCAATGTGCTATGCAAACCACTAACTCTTGAAATTTCTTTTCCTAGCTTCCAGCAAAGAGATTGGAGAAAAAAGGATTTCAAGACACTGTATGCTGTTTGTCTAGCATACCTGTGGCTACCAACTCCAGGTTGCCTCAGCAATCTCACTGCTTTTGATGTGTAGAAGACAGTAAGCAGGCACTTGAGCATTCTAAAGGAAATGGCAAGAAAAGGGTGCAGGAAGCAGAGACAAGGTCACATGATTTCCCCCGTAATGATGGCGTCAATTAGCAGCAGACCCACCAGTATTAATTATGGTTGTAAGCATAACTGTGTTTTATTACATTTTATTATTACATGTTTACCTCCGAATACAATTTGATAGCTTATTAGTAACCTTGACTATCACTAAATCTTGTATCTTTTTATTCTTGATGAATGTATTTTATTCTTCTTATGTACATTGAGAGCATATACACCAAAGACAAATTCTTTGTGTGTCCAGTCACACACTTGGCCAATAAAGAATTCTATTCTATTGTATTCTATCACAAAAAGGCACATGTATAACTCCCCCCCCCTAAAAAAAACCTCTCATTTTCAACCCAGAATGGTGGACTACAATTTTATTTTTCTTCTTAATTTTGAGCACCAATGTGTGCACTCTCTTTTCCCTCCCTCCCTCTCACACAGACAGACAGACAGACAGACACACACACACACCATATTCACTTTTACTTACCGTATTTTTTGGTAGACACACCATTTCCCCCCAAAAAAGGGTGAAAATCTGGGTGCATCTTACACATTGAATACAGCATTTTTGGCCTCCCGAAACCCCACCCCCTTCACAAAAATGGACACGCAGAGGATGTGGGAGGCCTGCAAAGTGCTCCTGGGGGCTGGGGAGGGCAAAAGTGAGTGAAAAACGGGCCATTTTTGCTCGTTTTTGCCCTCCAGCCCCCAGGAGCACTCTACAGACCTATGCATATTCTCTTTTTGCAAACAACGGGCCATTTTTTGCTCCTTTTGGGGGGGGCACTTTGGAGGAGCACTTTGCAGGCCTCTCAAACTCTCTGCATGTCCTGTTTTTCACAAAAAAATGAGGTGTGAAAAGGGTTTGAGAGGCCTGTAGAGTGCAAAAAAAAATTTTTTTTAATTTAACTCTTAAAAATCTTGGTGCGTCTTATACTCCGATGCGTCTTATACCCCGTTGCGTCTTATACTCCAAAAATATGGTATTTATTAGAAGGGAAATAGGTAGGAGTCTAAAACAATTTGTCACCAAGATCAAAATTTACATTTCTAAAATAAGTAAAAATTTTAGGAGAGCAGTGTTACTAAACTTCAATTAAAAATATTCAGCAGTAAAAGAGGACAGGGAAAATAGTCTCTAAGCCATCAGGAACTGTTAAATTGTAGTAGGACAGAAGTATGATACAGATAGTCCTTCACTTATAACTACAATTGAGCCCAAAATGTCTATGGCTAAACAAGACAGTGAATGAGTGAGTTAAGTGAGTTTTGCCCCATTTTACAACCTTTCTTGCCACGATTGTTGTGAATCACTGCAATAGTTAAGTTAGTAACAGTTCCTAGAGGAACCCAGCTTCCCCACAGACTTTGCTTGCAGAAGGTTGCAAAAGGTGATCGTGTGACACTGCAACTGTCATAAATACAAGTCAGTTGTCAAACGTACAAATTCTGACCATGGGGGTGCTGCAACAGTCTTAAGTGTAAAAAACAGTCATAAGACACTTTTTTCAGTGCCGTTGTAACTTCAAACGGTCACTAAACAAATGGTTGTAAGTTGAGGAAGCAATTATAAAAAAAGAATAGAAAAGGAATATAGCCTACAGAGGTACCTCTTTAATGGGATTAGATAAAAGAGGGAAGGAACAAGACCGATCAGCTACTTCACTGTGAATGAGAATCTGAATCTGTTTCTCCAGCTGCTCAGCCTAGCTATGGCATTACACTGACCTCCAAAACAAATAAGCAGAGATTGACAAAGTCAAAACCGAAATATTGTCCAAAAAAATGATTCCATGCCCTAAAGTAACTTGGAAGTAAAAGCAAAATCTTTCATGATGAAGTAATGCAAGGACCCAAAGAGGAAGTATTGTATAATGCCAATCTAGGCATAGCCAGAGAGCCACAGGAGTGTTTTCTTGCAGTCTGGGACATGGCAAGATACATTTTGTGCTTCCTCTTGTTACTCATCCCTGTTTTGTCTCAAGACCTGAAAGTGTCCTGTCCTTACGTTTTTAAAATGTGAGACAAATTAAGGGAAGTGAATTTCCACAGCTTCATCCTCAGCTAACACCACAAAGAAATAATAGCATGTCTAGCAACTTGTGGAAACAACCAAAAAAGAGCCAAAAAATGGAGGAGTAGAAAAAAAGAGGACATCCACACCTACTCAAAGTAACAAATAGCATGGCCATGTAAAACCTTGCTTGACACAACCAGCAACATCTAGGTGACAGAAACCATCAATGACTCCAGGTTTAAATCAAATTTCTAAACAGGATGCTCTTTTTTAAAGAAATCACTAAGGCTCTTTCAAAAGAGACTAAACTCTAATGTTAAATTGGGATACAATAAGGATGCTCCATTAAAACTGGAAAGGGCTTTAGAAGGCAGCAGGCTGCCATACCAGGGTGAGCAGGTGTTTCTGCTCACGTGAGGCTCTATCCCCAGCTGAAATGGTCATGGACAGCAGCAACCATGGGAAAGGCACCTCAAACAGACATTTGGGCCTGGAAGTTGTTTGAGCTGTGGATCAGGGATGAGTGTAGATGTCACCATGAACTCATAAAAAAGTATTGTGTGTTGCACCCAAAATTTTAAACGATTAACTCGTTCCTCATCAAACAAGTACCTGTGTTGTTTTTTTCTCCAGCTCATCCTGCCCCAATGCCATTGTTTCTGTTCCTCTCCCATATGTGCAATTACAGAAAACAAGCTCATTTGTCTTTGCCAAGAGATGTGCAGAATACACAGCAGGTCAGATCCCTCTCCTTGCTTTTCTCGGAGCCACGTCTACAAATCTTGAGCAAAATGCAGAAAGTGCATGTTTATCATCCACCCATTTATCATCACTGAACCAGGCTTCAAAAAAAAATCCATGAAGCTCTATGCCACCTGTACACATAGTCAGAAATAAAAAAAGATCTGGAGGCCAATATAACCTAATATTTCTAGGGGGGTTATTTCTCTATTTGCTTACCAATTGGTGGAAGTTGTAGCTACATTACGTTAAAAAAATATCCTCCTCAGTTACATGTTTGTCTAGGAGGAAAGTTTAGCTATTCACCTAAATAGCTTTTTAAAAAGGGAACTACAG